TCGTAATTAATTTTTTGAAAATTTAAGAAACAAGCAGCTATAAAATTATACACTTCCGTTATTTTTTCTCGCCCTTATTTTTGAAGCTGAAACCACTCCCATTACAACCACTTTTAATTTTAAAATAGCAGCCTTTATTAATATTAATATATAAATAAATATTTATGTAGGTAAATTTTGTAAATGACTTATTAAGAGTGAGTATTTGGGTTTCAAATCTCATAATTGAAGAAAAAAGTATATAAACTCAAAATCATAAAACCCTCTCGAGTATTTTACCGCGCTCTTTTGTAAAAATGCATATTATAATATTGATATGCAAGTAACTTCTTTTTTTGTTGCTTCACTTTTTTGAATCACAAATTAAAATACTTTTTGATTTCATGTTTATTTTGATTTGAATGAATGGAACAAGATTAAAAATAAAATTGTTGTTTACAAATACGAAAATAAAAGAAGAAATATTTATCGAATGAAAACAAAAAAACTATGCCTATACAGATTAAGTAGGTACCTATAGGTATTAAGACAAAAAGATAGTTCCACAAATTCAGCAGAATTGCAACAATTGGATGTGCAAGGTGAGTAATCCATACAGGCCATCAGCTTTAAGAGGCATCGAAAGCCAAAATCTAAAATTTAAATCGGTTTTTTTCATATATTTTTTTTATTTTCGTTGATACTATATAGTTTTAAATCGAATTTATTACTGGCGGAAGTATAGTGATTTATGTATAAATATAGTATGTACTATACCCATAATAATTATAATATACTTGTATTTATCTAAATATAAAAAAGATTCCATATTATATGTTTAAATGTCAAAAAGTACTTATTTTAATTGTAGTAAATACTTATTTATACAACAGTCAAGTATAAGAAATGTAAGATCTAAATTTGCAAACAAAAAGTTATAGGCTGGTAATATGAGAATTTATTTGATGAAATTAATAAAAAAATGAAAATTATCAAAAGAATAATATTATAACTTATCGAGAAGCGAAATATCGTATTAAATATGTTTATTATAATTATTCACATAACGGTAAAATAAATGTTATAATATATAATTGTTTGACCCGTCGATTGATCACCACTATGTATGTAAATTAATGATAATTGTATCAATCATTTTTTTTTCGTAATTAATCCTTTTTCCGATAGTACATTGTAAAATGTATGAGTACGTTGATTATATTTCGTATCATATATTCTTATTAGGTAATAATTAATAACGAAAACTATGGACTGAAGAAACCAAGAAAAGTCGACAAAGGTCAAAACTATAAAACACTGCAGAATATAGGTAGTTTTTGTTGTTAGATCTTTTCGTCGATCGCTGTATTACGAATATTTTATACGATTCTTTATTATATTATACCCATTGAATGAAAAACTTGAATTTGTTGAAGTTTGAAACGTAAAATCGTAGTAAAATGTTAGTACTGCTCGCGGGTAAACCAGTGTTGCAAGTGGATATATTTGAGAAGGTAGAATATAAAGTATACAGGGTAATTCAGTTAATATACTGTATACAGCTACTATCGAAAAACCGATTCTGAGCGGAGTACTATTAGCCGTAATTTGTTTTGCCCCGTAGCCAAGGCAACCCAATAAACAACAAAAATAAAATCCTAATATCATCGACATTTTTAGTTTTTCAAATTTTATAGAAAAACTTTTGTTTTAAAGTATAATGTGAGTAATTTGGCGAACATTCTTACTAATCAAAAAACTACTGCATACTAATTGTGCCCCGAGTAAAAAAGTATAATACTAATTGCATCCTAGGTTCTCAGGTTTCCTTGAGCACATTTGAATTGCGTCTCGACCATCTGTGATATTTAAAATTTGTGTACATATTATGTAATTATTGGTTATTGCACTATATAGTATTATCGAATTAGTATAAATGATTTCGTTTTAACTTTGATTATGACGAGTGAAATGAAAACTATGTACAGTAAAAAACAAATTGTAAAAAACAAAGAAATAAAAACAATTGATTACAAATTTTGATTTACATTTTAACTCGTTTTGTCTGAATGTAACAAAATTAATGTCATATAAATTTAATATTTTCTCCAAAAAGCCTATTTTGAAAAAGTAATAAATTAGGCTATTTTATCAGTTAGTGTCAGTCTAATCTAGTGTTTCCCAAAAGATGTGCCACGACGATATGAATTATTTTCCATTAAAACACCATTGTGAAATAATTAAACAATTTTATTAAAAATAATTTTTGGAAATATTAAACATAAAATATAATGAAATAAAACTAGTTTGAGTACAAATAAAATAATATTGATTTAATATCATATCTCCAAATTTTAGTGTGAAACGTGTGCTAGGTGCTGTCTGCACAATAATTCAATTCGAGGAGAGATCGACGATAAACACATTCGCATTTCTTGTTCAACTGCTAAAATTCGTTCGCGTGTCTTATTTTTGATATTGGTTAGGTCGGAAAACTCAAGTTCGCAGAAGTAAACTGTAAAAAATGGTAATAGCATATTCATTGCTATTTATGTAATTATCGGATATTTAATAAATTCTAAAACTGGAATAGTCTAATTTCATTAAAATTTAATTTCAACGAACGATCAGATTGAAGTTATAAAAGTTTATCTTGTTCAACTAATCTCAGATGGGATATTTCATCTGATGTTATTGAAAAAGGATTGCGAATCCGGTTGGGTGAACAATCATATTTGTTAATAGACAAAGATGGGAAATAAATCCGGTCTTAAATCACTTATATTTAAAAAGTTGACAATATTTATCCATAATGTGTCGCGATGTTATTAAATAATAATAATGTGCAGCAATGGCAAAAAATTTAGGAACCACTGGTCTAACTGTTAGATTTTCTATAACTCTAAAAGGATGTCGATTTCATTTGGGAAATAATGTTAAGTTTTTATAATTTACGAGACGAAATTAGCATGTATAATGTATCAAACAAAAATTTGGGACGCAACTAGTATGGCCCAAAAATATAAACAGAAAGCAATTCGGTAAGAATTGTTGTCATGTAACACAATTAGTATGGCGCCCAAAAAACTGCGTTTTCCAAGGGAAAAAAGGACCTAGATAGTGTAAACAGTAGAAAATGTTAAAAGCTGTTAAGCATAATAATATTTACCATCAAGCATAAACTTCGCATCGTTTAAGGTACAGAATAAAAAAAGACGGATATAATTATTTCGTATGGTGGTCCACTGCTGTAGATGAGAAGTTAGGAAAGTAGGATACAAAGGGAAATTGTATGTATATCTGTAAGTAAAGATTAATCATTGTTAACGAAAAACAATTCTGAGCGGAGCTCGGTCAATAGTAATGCTTTTTAAACTATATATAATATGTTATATTATATTAAAATATATATATATTGAATACAACGAATTATATAGTACACATATATTGTGTTACACTTGTTACATTTGTTTTTTTTCCCTGTTGCTTACCCGACGTGGTGTTGCAAAAGAAAAATGTTTCGGAACTTGAGTTTGAACAAGCGACCGTTGGGTTGATAATAGGTACGTACCACCATTAGAATACGACATATATACTATAAAATTACCATTATTGAGTTATTCAAAATAAAACATATACCTAATAACCGCATAATATCAGAAGTTCAAAAAGTAGTAATTTCAAAACTAAGCCAGTTCGCTCAATTTTGATTTCACTATCGTTCTGAAATCGGCAATTTACATAATATGTTCAAAATAAAACAGAACAAATTTATAAGTTCAATTTGTTCCACATCATTTTTACTCAAACGATTATCGTCAAAATTTGACATTTAATTATTTTATGAAAAACAATACTACATTAAGTTCATATTTATTTTCTCACCACAAAGTACGAATTTTAATGAACCTCTTGTTAAATTTTTAAGCACTTTTGTTTAATCTAACAATTTTAACCACAGAGTACCTATACCTCCCGAATACTAAAATGAAAATTAAAATGTCTATTAATTTTGTCAAGCCGTTGACGAGATATTTCACTTTTAAGTTTAGGTTGGAGAAGAGTGGTGGTGCATTATTAACACGCCGAGCGCCATACACAAATGATACTCCACTACTCTCCTCCAACCTAAACTTAAAAGTGCAATATCTCGTCAATGGCTTGACAGAAATCAAAAATGTTAATACTCAAATTTATTCTAACTAATACTCCATCTATTTATAGATATTTTAATATAGGTTACCATTTGAAAATCAAAAGTAGGTTGTAGTTTTACTCCTAAAAATAAAGGCAACAAAAAAAAAAAACAGAAATATAAAATTGTAGAGCAGCTTGTTTCTTAAATATTTTGGAAAAAGTTAATACTTTCTGAGATAATGAGTGTAATCACTTAAATGAATCATCCGGTATAAAATAAAATATTGGAAACTATAAATTAAATAATTTACCGTTCATCTTTTAATGGACACACAATAAGTAAAATCTTACTTTAATTGGTGCCAGTAGATTTAACTGTGTATCATTGTGGATACAGAAAATTTCATAAAAAAATGTCCTACATGTCGCCGATCTAATAACAATTTGAAGTAGAACTGACGAACATCATCGACGCCTAGTTTTGTTTTAGAAATCGCAAGCTGAATTTTGAACGCCCAACGGCAACATTGACGTCATCGGCGGCAACGATGGTATGCGGACTCCGGCGGTACCACGTCATTCCGAGATTTCGGGCTATATAAGCGCGAACGACTATGGTTACCAGACCAAATCTTCCAGACTACTTGCGCGCTCTACCAGTCCGTCACTCTGTCACCCAGCCTGTAGCATATTATTTTTTCATCGTCCCTCCATTGTAACCGCCAGAGCCATTATTTTGTTTAACGTCCGCGGGTTGTCAACTCATATTCACAAACACACAGGATCCGGCCAGTACTGAATGCAGCTGCAGCAAGCGCATATATTATATAATTAACCATAGTAACCATACACCAACAGTCATCATCAATCAGTTTTTGTCTGCAATGGCCCACGTCTACAAGTGTCGTTTATGCGATAGTGAGTATCGCGATCAGTTTTTCGTCACCAGCATATTCTCCGAGGAGGGCCGTAAGCGAGAATTCGCTGCAAAAATATTCTACACGCTCTGGATATTGGTAAGTATATGTACGCAGTGGTGGTTTTAACCAAAGGGGGATGCCAGTGGTGGATTTATTAGATGCTTGGTTTCAAATGCCATAAAGATGATTTCAGGTTTGGGAAATACTTGATTGAAACAAGAATGAAACATTTCTCATTTATAAATTTTAATAAATATTCTCACAAGGGTAAATAGAATTATGAAAAACTAAGTGAACACAATTAATTTGAAAAAATATAATAAAATAACATATTTTTAGAATAAAAATTGGAAATGATTAATTTAATTTAAATTTTAGATTCTGAGTGTAGTGAAGAATATACCTATTGGATTTACAATGATGTTCTTTTTTCTTTGTTTTATACTGTGATAAAAATTTCTACCAGAAATCTTGTTTCAATATGTAAATGTAGCACCTATTTTAAAAGAAAATATTGTTATATTGTCTAGATGATACTTTAGAAAGGTAATTATTTGATTTTCCAAGCAGTTTTCATAATATCAGTAAAACCCAGAATAAAACGTAAGAAAAACGGGGAAATTTACGAAAATAATGTTTTTATTATTTTTAATTTTGGTTTTTGTTGTAATACAATTAAAGATATTTGTAGACTTGAAATTTGGAAAAAAAAATGTATGTCTTCTAAGCTTATATAAGTTGAAATTACATCAGACATAAAGGTTTAAAGTTTTTGTTGACCAAAGCGGCGGTATTCATTGTTCGTCCCCCCCCCCCATGGAATTTACCCGAACACGTGCCTGAGTTTCAATCCATCATTTAATTCGAGGATCATGGGCCTTATCATTCACTTTTATACTATTATTTTATTAATAAATAAAAATCAAACAATAAATATTATTTGTATTGGTATATACATAATATATAACAAAAGAGCCAAGGGTGGGGGCGAACGTCCCTATAGCCCCACTCTAAAACCCAGCACTGTACACGCGTTGAATAGAACATGCATTTTTTTGTATTAATTTATTTCTGTGAAAAAATATCAGTAATATTAGGTAACACTATGTATAGTTATTCCTATTTTGGATTCCGAACGTATCGAGGGAGCTATTGGTTTTACAATGCTGTTTATTTCTTCTTCTTTTTCTTTGTCCTATTCTGTGAACACGTTTTTCCCTAGTAAACTTGCTCCAATTTTTACGTGTAGCAACTTTTATGAAAGCTCAAGTTGTCTATATGGTACACTATAGAAAGGTAATTTTTCGATTTTCGACGCCATTTTTAAATATAAGTACTTAAGTGGGAAAAAACGCAGGGAAACGTACAATTTCATGATTTCATTATTTTATAAAATCACGAACGACGTTTTCTACTAGAAAAATGATTTAATCGAAAAATCATATGATACATTTTTTATTGCCTTTTTGACTTACTTTTTTAAGGTATAATTTCTAAAACTTTTGAGCTTTTAAGGAGTTTTAATTTTTTTACTGTAATTTGGTTATTAATAAACGTAGAGACTTGAAACTTGGTAATAATAGTTATATTGGGCTGCTCCCATTCCCAGTATCAGTTCTTTTTTTTTATTTCTGGGATCCATTGATTACACACACATACACACAAATAAAACGACTTTAAGAAGACATACCCGTATCTACTATCTCAGTCCAACTACCGTATAACATGCAAAAACAAAATGCTTACGCAGAATAAGTAAAACAAGCTTAGTTTTGATTTTAGAGTAAAAGTACCTATTATGAAATTTAAAGATAACAATATTTTGCAGGAAATTTCATACCGTTTTGTATTATTCAAAACATAGAGCTCGACATAAAAAAAACAAAACCTGATTTTTTTTAAATAACAGTACTTATTTTAATTATTCATAGTTCAAAAAACACCTATATCATTTCCTACAAAATATAGTTCTCTATACACTTCTTATCAGGTACTTTTACTCTAAAATAAAAATTAAGCTAGTTTTACTTATTTTGCGTATTCTTTGTTTTTGCACTTTACCAGATGGTTGGACTGAAACAGTAGATAGGGTAAATCTCCTTAGAATTATTATCCTTATTTTTTTTTCTTGCAATGATTTATTGTAATTATTTTGTTTATGAATTTATTTTTATAGATTATTGAAGAAGAAAATCCTCTGTATATTTGCCGCAGTTGCATTAAATCTGTCGAACAATTGTATAGTTTTATTGTAATTTGCCGATCGAAGAACACAAAAATAATGGAAAGACTGAAAATCCCAGACTTTCATTATCACTGGACTTTGAGAAAAAATCCTGGTTACTTGACAAAGCCGATTAGTTGGGTAAGTACTTGTATATATTATACAATATATTGTATTAATAATTTAAGGTTGAATATTGTATTCAATCGCGAAAAAACCTGTATAATACCTACCCGTCATATTTACATTATATTAATCTATAGAATATAAACCTTAATTCTTATTATTTTGGTACAGTTTTTCAATCATCTTCACGGTAATGATTTGTACGAAGCGACAACGCAAATAATGCGAAACGAATCGTTACCAATGACCAAAACTTCGATGGAAATTGTGGCGTCTGTTCAACTTAACGTGATTAACAAGTCAGTATATAATATCGAGTATTTATGTTCAAATACATCAGTAAAACTCTTGAGAAAATCGAAAAATGATCTCCCTAAAAGTACCATCTCAATCAGATTTCCTTTTGGAAAAAGTACTCTCATTGTTAATCGGAACAAAATTGATGGTAGAAAAGTTGTCCACAAAAAAAAGAAATCATAATATTTTATATTTTCCCGTTTTTCTCCGTTTTTTCTCGGTTTTTCACATTTGGTGAGAAAACTCTTGAGAAAATTGAAAAATGACCTTTCTAAAGTATCACTTCAAGAAAATTTTTTTTCAGAAAAAGGATAACATTGTATACATCGGAGTAAGCTTTCTGGTAGAAAATTTGTAAACATAAGAAAAAAATTTAATTAAAAAAAAAACCGAATAACTTTGTAAAACCAATACAGAATGTAAAATTGTTTAAAAGAGTTATTTTAGAATGATGATTTATCATAATTTTGTAAATTTTTACGTTTAGTTATTCCAGTGGCACAACTAGGATTTTGGAGATCAAATGAAAAAGTGAATCTGGGTCTTAAGTAATTTTTTTTGTTATGTTCCGGGCTTATCCAATAGGACCTTAAAAAAAAGAGATCGGCCTTAGATCCCCGTGAATGTAGGTGTTGTTAAAACTGTTTACATATTTTATATTTAGAAATAAATATGAAAACTTATTCACTGTAGACAGGAGATCGTTTGATAGTTGATAAATTTGATTATTTGTTTCACATATGATTTAAATTGTAATCGTTATGTTATAATAAAATCGTAAACTGATATTTTTATTTATATCTTCGGGGAATGTTGTTATTACTTATGTATATATTACCATGAACTTATTTTTAATAAGTCCATGGTAATTATTAAATCTTATTATTATTATTATTATTATTATTATTTAATCTTATTAATTAATAATATAACAAATTTGAAAGTTGCTTATATGTCATCTCCTTATACTATTCCAAAATGTAATATATAATTTTGCATTATTAGAACTTGGCCATGGTGTAAATAATTCATCTTAAAAATATATAACTATCATATTTTAAAACTGAAAGTGTAAGCTACGTTTAAACTGCTTATATGAATGCCACGTCACTGACGCAGTCGTGTATCCAAAAACGTAACATGCGCATAATCGTAACGTGCCCATCAGCTGGTACACATTTTTTTTTATAAATCTGTTTTTTTTTTCAGTATTAATAACATTGGTGCTAATGCTGCTAACAATGTTAATATTGTTCATAATATTAATGCTGGTAACGGGACTGCATCGCAGAGCTCATTAAATTTTACAGACATTCCATCTACAAGCAAATCTCACCAGTGAGCGTATATACTTACCTATGTACCTATACTTTAAATGTAGGTAAAGCGTTTATGACATACAAATTGAAAGAACAAAACAATATTCTAATTTTTGTTGTAAACGTACAACAAACCATTTTTTTCGTTTTATATAATATTATAATAAAGTATAGTGAATAATATAGATCTGATGATATTTATTTTTTTAATTTCTTTATAAGAAATATGATTTTGGAATATGTTAAAAAACACATTTATATTGATTTATTATAATATAACACAATTAAAGTTAAAACCTTAATATATTATTTATTAAAACTATATTAATGTGTACATAATATGAAGATATTTTTTAATATATTTTAATGATAACATTAATTATCCAAAACTCTATAACTGAGAGCATATCTTATTGATCTTATTGATATCTTATCTATATTGGAAAATCGGTACAACATTAAACAAATATTATTAAAGAAAATATATAAAGTCTATTTTATTTTTTTTACTAGCAAATGACATAAATATTGTTGACAAAGCATCATTATAAACTGAATTCCGCTCAGAATCCTTCTGTGTCATGGATATGCATTTCATGCAAAAAGTTTGTTGTATCAAACACGTCACACGACTGTACTTATGATATAAAATCACAAATTAGTAATAGTAAGTAACTTACCAAGTAATTTTAGTACAGGTTGTATCATTGATTATAGAATCAATACCTACTATAGTAGAATTTAACTATTAAAAATAGCAATATATTATTAACTAAAATTAAGTAAAATAAATTTGATGTTATTATTATTATTATTANAAATAATAAAAAAAACCTTAAGAAAGTATAGACGGTGAAATATTGTTGACAAAATAATAATAAATATTCATAAATAGTATAATATAATAATGATATTGTTATATTTTAAGAAAAATGTGTGATAATAATTATCGCGCATTTTTGTTGAATGGTAAATCAATAGTGATAGTGAGTGATAATTTTGGTTGTTGGTAGAACGACGGGTAAAAATTATTTCGCGCAATCAAAAAGGAACTTGTCGTGTTCAAAACACACGAAAGGAAATGACACGACGAATTGAGGACTCCCCTAAAGAGTTCAGAGTGTAATTTGTTATCGATCTAAAAATAAACTCCCGTTCCTGTAGTCGTAATCACGATTTCAAGACTATAATACGTACGTGAAGTTAGGGGCCTAAAGCTAAGAACCTTTTTTGATAAAAAAAATAATGTCATGACCATTGTATAATTTAAGTTGCCTACACCAAAGAAATTAAAGGGGTAATGTTTTACCAATACAGAATACTCAATAGTTATAAATTTAACGCTAGATGCCGCAAGTGTACCTCATTAGGATGTAACTAAATAATTTTACTATTCTGTTTATAACTGCTAAACTTAAAAATTATAATAGTAAGTATAATTTTCAAACCGATATGACGACTTGATTAGGGGCATATTGAACCCCGAATATGGTATCAAAATAACTTACGAAAGCCCCTCTTTAAGCCAATAATTTCAATATATATGTATTTACATTTCTAGATTTCATATTTGTATAAGATAATATTTCTTAGATATATTCAGAGAATATAATATACGAGTACATTTATAATATATACACTCTGATAATAGTGTATTCAATTTTATAAAATTTCAAATAATGTGACTAAATATACAGTGTGCATGTATTAAATTGTTTTTGTCCTATTAAATCTACGCATAATGTGCTACTATAAAATGAAATATTAAAAAAATAAACATTGATCACTTTGAATACATTTGTAGTAAATGTATTTAGTTATAAGACCGGTATTATAGCAAGCCTACAAAGTTTTTTTTGAAAATAAAATAGAATGATTTTAAAATTGGGTTAGAATAAATTAGAATAATATATTTTATTATTGTAGAAAAATATACATAAAAGTTTTTTTTTTTAAAAAAAACATAGAAAAACCATTGTCTCAAAAGAACTGCCTTAAAGGAACCATATAAAGTAGTAAGCATATACATAGTGATAATGTTTTATTAACATGGAAGCGTTAAGCAAAATAGCAGATGAGCTATATCGACCAGCAAAACGCATATTTCCTAGACGGAATGTAATGTCTCTTTTCAAGGATGATCTTTGGCAAAATGACCTAATAGATATGCAATGTCATTCTATGAAAATTAGTGGATTTAAATATATTTTAATTATAATAAACACGTGTTCTAAATATGTATGGGTACAATCTTTAAAAAATAAAAGTAGCACAGAGGTTACAAAAAATTTGTAAATATATTACAAACCAATCAACCAAAAGTATTACAAACTGATAATGGAACGAAGTTTTACAATCAACCGGTTCAAGATCACATGAACAAATATAATATTTAACATTACAGTACAAACAGTAGCATAAATGCAGGTATGATTGAACGTGTTATAAGGACAATACAAAATACAATTTACTAACATTTGACATCATCAGGTATATGGAATTGGTACAAATCAATTTCAAAACTAATAACTAATTACATTAATACTAAACATTCAATGATTAAATGCACACCATTTGAAGCTAGAAAAAAACATTAAAAATATTTCGTTTTATATTGTTCTAACCTGATACTGTTAAATATTCAATCTAACCCCAATAATTCTCTTCGCATTTATAGTTTTTGATTCTATGGCTAGTGTATTCTCTTTTTTGTACACCGTACTCGATAAGGTTGCAGCTTCGGTGTACAGAAAATCATTATCGGTAACACGAATGGAAAACTGATTTATTAGATTGTATAATTTTTCATTCTGTAAATTAATATTGATTTCATGCTTATCAGTCTACTGGCTGCGTGAAGTAAAGCTATTTTGTACAGTGGCAGCTTTGAGGGTGGAGCAAGTGAGGTAGTGCCTCACTTAAAATTTTATATTCGATAANTTATTTTTAGATCGATAACAAATTACACTCTGAACTCTTTAGGGGAGTCCTCAATTCGTCGTGTCATTTCCTTTCGTGTGTTTTGAACACGACAAGTTCCTTTTTGATTGCGCGAAATAATTTTTACCCGTCGTTCTACCAACAACCAAAATTATCACTCACTATCACTATTAATTTACCATTCAACAAAAATGCGCGATAATTATTATCACACATTTTTCTTAAAATATAACAATATCATTATTATATTATACTATTTATGAATATTTATTATTATTTTGTCAACAATATTTCACCGTCTATACTTTCTTAAGGTTTTTTTTATTATTTATACTATTTTCTGTCAAAAAAGGCGATTTCATTGAATTATTACCTAAACAGTATTCACTTTATTAATATAATTTACTTGTATTATTATACGATTAACGATTGACGTGTTTGATACAACAAACTTTTTGCATGAAGTGCATATCCATGACACAGAAGGATTCTGAGCGGAGTTCAGTTTATAATGATGCTTTGTCAACAATATTTATGTCATTTGCTAGTAAAAAAAATAAAATAGACTTTATATATTTTTTATATATTTTATATTTTCTTTAATAATATTTGTTTAATGTTGTACCGATTTTCCAATTTCCCTACGTTTTTCCTGGTTTTCTCGTGTTTTATTCCGGGTTTTCACATTTGCTAGGAAAACTTCTGAAAAAATCGAAAAATGACCTCTCTATCTAAATTAACTCCCTAGTGAAATTCCCTTGTAGAAACATTACTATCATTAAAATTTAAAGAAGTTAAAGCGAAATTATTAGTTGAATAGTTGTACACAGGAAAAAATAGTAATTTTTTAGCAATATATTTAGTACATTTTCCCGTTTTTATCGGTTTTTCAAATTTGATGAGAAAACTATTGAAAAAATCATAAAATAATCTCTTAATAATAAATAAATTTGAAATACTTTCTCGTCCCGATTTCCTTTCATAAAAAGTGCTACACTTAGAAATCCAAACAAGTCTTCTGATAGAAAAGTTGATAATAGATAAAAAAAAAAAAAAAACTCCTTTGTAAAACCACAAGCGTTTCTTCGTTCCACTCAAAGTATAAAAATGATTTTTATTAATTATAAACATACGCGGTTAACTATGGTGTTTATGATTTTTCGTTATGTTTTTAAAATAAATAATATAATATATTATGTATAGTTGAATTGGTTGATAGTGATTTTTTGATTGTAGTTGTAATAACTTTAGACTACCTATCACAAATGCAGTATCTACTTAATTTTGCCAATAAAGGTATAAACTATACATATTTGATTTAAGAAAAAGAAAATTATTCAGAATGATTTTTAAGTTTAATAACAACAACTAATGATTAAAATATTATTGAATAATATTGTTAACAAGCAAAAAAGTTCAAAATGAAAGAAAACCCATCTTTCCAATATTTGCATTTTTGTAGATATTGCCTTTCATTATGGCAGAGCAGCATAAGAATTACTATTGCAGTATTGCACAAATATACCTACGAGGTGTGGCAATTAAAAAACGAGAATTTTTTTCTAGCTCCTATAGTGGTAATACTGATATCTTGAAAATTTGTTGACGTAAAGTTCAGGAGATTTTACACAACCCTGCCAAGTTTGATAGTGATCGGTGTTATATCTTGTGCTCTGTGATTTTTTTTAAAATTAGTAGTGTAGTGTCGTTACGTACAAAATTGTGTAACGTAAAAAACGAGCAACGAATTGTCATCAAGTTTCTGGTCAAATCTGGCGAAAAACTGGACGAAATTTTTCGTAAATTGCAACGTGTGTTCGGTAATGACTGCTTGTCAAAACCACGTGTGTACGAATGGGTCGCACGTTTTGCATTAGGCCGAGAACCAACGCAAGATGATGCAAGGTCAGGTGCCCCTAAAATCGTGCACACTAGGTAAAATATCGAACGTTTGAGAGTTTTAGTGCGCACAGATCGACGCCTTACAATTCGAATGATATCAAATGAACTCGATATTAATAAAGAAACCATTCGCCAGATGTTACACGATGATCTATTGATGCCCAAGCTCTGTGCAAAGTTTGTTCCGAAAGTCTGACGGTGGAACAAAAATAATTGCGACGATCGATTTGCGAAGATTTTCTTGAACGAATTCAAAGTGAAGGGCATGACTGGATGAATTCGATTATCACGACAGATGAAAGCTGGTTGTATCAATATGATCCTGAGACTCGTCGACAAAGCAAACAGTGGGTTGAAGACGGAGGGGAGCGTTTCACGAAAGCCCGGATGGCAAGAAGCCAAATCAAGACAATGCTCATCTGTTTCTTCGATAAAACGGGTATTGTGCTCCGAGAATTTCTTCCTCAGGGACAAACGGTGACTTCGGTATTTTATATTGAAGTTCTAAGTCGATTGTGTAAAAGTGTGTCTCGTGTGAGGCCGGAATTAGCAAAAAATGGTTGGATCCTTCATCATGACAATGCGCCTGCTCACACACCATTAAAAGTTACACAGTTTTTGACCAGTAGGAACATAACAACGCTCCTCCACCCCTCCACCCACCCCTCTCCTACAGCACCGGCTCCACTGGACTTCTGACTGTTTCCAAAGTTGAAGGAACCAATGAAAACACATCGCTATGAGAATTTGGAGGACATTAAACGGGCTGTAACGTCGGTGTTGAAGAACCTAACTTCAGAAGACTTCCAGGAATGCTTCTACAAATGGGAAGAACGCTGGACCAAGTGCGTTAGACTCGGAGAAGAGTACTGTGAAGGCATATGTGCTTAAATCATTGTAAATATTAAATAATCGTTTTAAAATTTAAAATTCTCGTTATTTAATTGCCATACCTCGTATATTGAGTTATTTTGTAATGGTACAAAAATAAACGACCGAACTGTAAAGTATAATTTTATCTAAATTAATAAGGACTATAAAAATATTATGTACACATTATCACATGCGTACATACATTTATTTCACTAAAAGGTGCTTATGATAAATGAAATTTTTTTTTTGGGGGGGAGGGGTAATAGGTAAAATGTAAAATATTTCATCTTCCCCACACAAACATCAATCACCAAATTATGCGACTGTAAGTATAGGTAAGTTAGTCTCCGTACCGCTGTACAGGCGACAGTTAGGACGGTTGTTACGAAATTTAGTAATAATAATATAATATAATCAACTAGGTAGGTAAGTATTTACTATTCTATCGTGCTAATTTGTGCATCAATTTTATCCTTTTGTATGCGCCGCAAATCTTTAGGTAAATCTTGTATGATGTATATACTTACTATCGTCCAAATCGTATCGGCAAATTTCAGGACGGCGATCAATTTAATAGTAAACTAGTGAAATCTGTTTTATTATTTGAAATAAAATATTGATTATTATTTTTTTTTTGTCCTAATCCGTTACGTAGAACTCACAAAATCATATAATTTTAAAACAGTATACATGTTAATTTTTTTTTTTAATAGGTACAATTAAACTACTTACGGATTAGACGCATTGTTTTTTTCATCATCCAGGGATTTGAATGGTAGTAAATAGGTACGGTTTTGGAATAGTAAAGACTAAAATGATTGAATTAATAGGTAGGTATAAAAAAACGTGCAGAGATCTTTTGGGTAGAAATAACAAAATTTATAACTGATAACTAATAGTATACTAATCTAACAAAAACTCTTAAATATTTTAATACCTTTAAACTTTTAATCATTTTCTGAAAATTATAAGCTTGTCTACAGTTATTCCGAGTGTAATAATAATTAATAGCAATATATAATAATAATTCGTATTAATAATATTATTGATAATATTTGTATAAAGTTTTTCAATAAATGCCATTTGAAACCCAATACTAATCACGGGACGAGGTGGCCGAGTGGTTAAGGCGTTGGACTGCTAATCCAATGTGCTCTGCACGCGTGGGTTCGAATCCCATCTTCGTCGATATGGTTCCGAGAAAAATTTTTTTCTTTTTTTCATATTTTTTTGATATGTATTCATACAAATACTCTGCAGTCCCGTACGAGTAAAATCAAATTTAAAACATTGAATCTATGTATATTTTTCATTATGATTATTTTTTTTTTATTATTTTCAGCTTATACTTTAGAAATTGATTTTGATGTATGCGGTTTTACAACAACTTTTCTACCAGATATCTTACTCCGATTATCCGAATATCAAATTTATGAGTGGATCATATATTTGTTGTAGACATTTTATATAGTTAATAATATATTGGTAATGTCAATATTTGATTTCGGAAAGTTTACACAATACCGGTGTTTGTTATTTCCGTTTTTTTGATTTTGTATGATTATTTAGTTTAAAATATTCGTACAGATGTAAAATTTCCAACTTCGATGAAAATCGTAAATTTCATTATTTTTCGACTTATACGGTTAAAAGTTGTTTGATTCCATAAAAATTACTTAAAAATTTGATTCACAGAAAAATATATGACATTTAAATTTTCTAATAAATTAGGAATCAACGTTTTATTTTAAATTTTCGTTTGTCATAACAAGGGGTCTAACCGAATTCTGCTTAGAGTCGGTTTTTGTTAGTAACGATTTATCTTTACGTATACGTATACAATAAACTGAATTATGGTAAGTTTGGAGAACTCTCTTTGTAACGAATTTTCCCACGGTGATGGCACTCGAAGTATTAAAATTTACAAATGAAAATCGCGGCGAATAGCGCGCACAAGCAATATTAATAATAATTTAAAATAACTGCGCACAGTACACTGAGCGTAGACTGGCCGGCCACTTACTTAAACCTAAAATGATTAGGAAATACACGCACGTAGAAATAAAACGATACACATAAATAAATGGATACAAATAATTAGGTAGGTAGGTAACTCGCTCCGGTAACATGTGACAATTGACAACGGCAATATTTATATGAAACTCGGCGATTCGCGATCCGGAATCTCCCATCCGCCAAGATGTTTGACTTACGCCGATAAAGCTCCCGCGATTTCCGGTAGTACACAAGGCGAGACGTTAATCACAAATTTCGACACTCGAGACTGAACCTACAAGTTGACTCGATCCGTTGATTGAATGCTACCTGCTCCGATACCATTCACCGGGAAGCCGTAGAACCTCCGGTAACCCTTTTGAAATAAAATTCACCGGTGAGACGCTATCCGGTATGGGTCGGCGTCACCACGGCCGTACACAGCAATGCGTGTCCTTGTTCTGCTCCCGCCGTCAGCGAGGCGAATGCCGCTGCACCTACCCCATTCGAATCCGTCGCGGGACCCGCGTCGGAGAAACACTGCGCTTGACGATCGCTACTCCCCGGCCCCTTTGTTCCCCCGAAGTGCAGCAAAGTACCGTGTCGCTTCTTGCAGACACAACGGGTGTGTACGCAGGCTTGCACGTTTCAGAATTGCTTAATATTCGCTATACGATTATGAATTCTTGACGAAAAGGCCGATGGCGAAATTGTCGTACCTCGCATTTTGAGAAATAGCTTTTTTCGGGAAGGGGGGAGGGGAGGATGAGGAGGTTAGGGACGGCGTAATTGCGTTGCCCCCGGGCGCAAAACGTCCGATTACGGCCCTGCACGTTATACTATGGATGGGGCTGCACATGACTAAACATTCGAGGCAAAACGTAACTGAGCGGAGTCGGGGCTGATGCGCGCGCGTGAAATTTACCATCACCGCTGATTACCAATGATGACGAGAAACGAGATTCCCGTTGTTTTAATACATTGGAAACTGAACGATATTATTAAATGTACCGCAGTGCAGTTCAGATGGGTACCACGGCCGACCACCTCGTACCGGCGACGAATCGCGAACATTGAATAATAAATATTTACTGCGGACTCGTGGTCAAATTCACGCGATCGCGTATGACGGCGTACCGTGGCATTTTTATTCGGTTACGTTATGGTTGCGGTGACAAACGCNACGGTGTGTCCGACGCGTAGCACGCGTTCGCGGCGCAGTGGCTCCGTCCGTAGTACACGATCCGAGGGTCACATGGTCGGGTTTGGTTTGGGGGACACCGTTCGTCTACGGGACAGACGTCAAGTCGCCTGCCTGCCCAACATAAACAACGCCAAATTCGCATTAAGTTCAAGTTAGTTTATTTTTATTTTTCCACAAATATGTATACAATATAACATGCTCTATATTATATTTATTATGTTTTATACCGATACAATAGTTCTTATATTACTAATAATAATAATAATAAAAAAAAATCAAATCTAGTCGACTCGTAAATTCCGTTTACACAGTACATATTATAATATCCATTAGGCACGGTTAACTAATAAAATCAAGTCGGGCGAACAATTATTGTATAAAGTGTTTTGGGCAGAGGTTTGCGTAAATAATCGAATGTATTTACAATTTTTGTGACATGATAATATCATCAACGCCGGCCGGTGTGCCACCCGTGACCCGTCGCTTGGTCCGCTTCCCACAGCAGAATCGTCGTCACCAGCCACGTGTCCCAATGTTCGACGGGCCGACTGAATGCAGGGCTCGCCACTCTCGAACGCGGGTCACCGAAATGAACGGGCCGGGAGCGAATGACATAATTCGCGCGGCCGGGCGCCAGCCGCTTCGCGCGCGTACCTGCTCACGCGCGTACGTCGGCGCGCTGTTCACGCCGACCCGGTCCGCTACACCGTGTGTTAGCGCGCACGCGTGCGGTTGTGGCTCAGCGAGAGCGGTCGGGGTCGCCGAGCAAATCCGTCGAGCTACGCGACGGCGGTGGGTGTGTGCGGGTGTGTACCCCATACGTCTACGAGTCTCGCTGGCTCGTCGTTTGTTTTAATTCGTTCTGATTTCGGAAAAAAAAAAAACCGCGAAAGGAGATGGCGGCAAACCAATTTAATGTACATGGGTATATGGGACACATGTAGCGGATCGGATTTATTAAACGATCTGCAGCGACCGGTGTTGAGTGGACAACACAGACGTCTCATTAGAATGCCGTCTATTGGTTTTGGACGTTTAATAAATTCGATAGGCGCGAAAACGAACTACGACACGAATTACCGAAAAGCCATTCGTGCGCAAGAATGTGGTGAACTGTCACGTTACGATTTTCGGCAAATTTGTTACAACCCATCGTGTGGGTCCAATGGGAACCACGGTATCCCGGTTTGTTTCCGTACATCACCATTCGAACCTAACACTTCTCCGTCGTTCCGCTCCGCTGTTTGAAAACGGAAATTGAATTTGTACACAATTACATCGAAATGGTTTACACGGGCGATCCGCCGCGGGCAGACCGGTTTACCGTGCGCACTACTACCGCCGCGCCGCAATGTAACGCAATCCATTTGGCGTTCGTCGGAACCGCCGACCCACTCGGGCGGACCGACGGCTTCGCGAGCCGAACGCGCGCGAGTGGATACGGTCAGGTAGTAACGCCGCGCATACGCTCGGGACATCGCAGTGACACCGCACCCAGACGCAACCGCGCGTGACCGGCCCGATGTTAGTGACAACGGTGTTGTAACACTAACGATAATCCGCGAAAACCGTTTTCAAATGGCGCGTGTCGGGTGGCCGCGCGGCGACCGTCGCGATGATTTGGGCCGCGCGCGCCGGCAAAACCACCGGCCCGACGAGAACTCTCGGACATTACCGTCGGTCCGTAAACGGATCGATCGCATTACGGAAATTATCCGCTTTGCCTGCGATTATTCCGAGTGGGTAATAATAATTAATAGCGGTACACAGCGACGGGCGCCTACCGTGTGAAAACCATCGGACTCGACTGCGCGATAGTTACGAACTACGCGTTCACTCGGTTGTTTTTTTTTTTTTTTTAGAAACTATCGAGTCAATAACAACCGGCCGTTTTTTTGTATCTAAACTATCGATAGTCAAAATCGGTCGGTGCAACTACCGAATGGAAAACTGTCGACTAATACATTCGATAGTTTTAAAAACAATCGATGGATAAAACTATTTTATTCAATCGATAAATCAATAGGTTGTGATTTCAACCATCGATTGAAAATCGACAACCGAAACTGGTTGATTTCGCACATCACCGGCAATGTATAATAATAAATCGTATTAATAATATTATTGATAATATTTGTATAAAGTTTTTCAATAAATGCCATTTGAAACCCAATACTAATCATGGGACGAGGTGGCCGAGTGGTTAAGGCGTTGGACTGCTAATCCAATGTGCTCTGCACGCGTGGGTTCGAATCCCATCTTCGTCGATATGGTTCCGACAAAATTTTTTTTTTTTTTTTTTCATATTTTTTTGATATGTATTCATACAAATACACTGCAGTCCCGTACGAGTAAAATCAAATTTAAAACATTGAATCTATGTATATTTTTCATTATTTTTTTTTTATTTCTTAATATGTATTCGTACAAAGGCACTGCAGGTACGCACGAGTGAATTTAAATTTTAAAAAAAAACTGATGCTGAGGGATAGGTGCGGTCACTTTTGTTGGTGGGTAATGGGGATGGTGGGATACATAAGGTTATTTATATTTATTTCATTTATATCTATAACCAACGATTAACCATTGTTGACAAAAGACGATTTCGAGCGCGATTCGATAATACATAATTTGAAGTGCCGTAATATTTTTTTAACCTAACCTTCCTACGTTTTTTTCCGGTTTTTATGAAAACTAATTCGAAAACCAAAAAAACGGCCGGCATCAATTAAAATAAGTTTAATAATTCAACAAAAAAGGTGTCTTGTCGTTAATCAATTGGAGCCACATTTGTGCTAGAAAACGTGGCAGGTACTTATTTAAAAAAAAAGAAATTGTGAAAAAACCGTAATTTTTTTCCCGGTTAATCGTTTTTATTTTAAATACCGTTTCGAAAACCGAAAAATGACCTATGTATTTACCAAGCGGATAAAATTAATTTTCAGAAAAGATGCTACACTTATACATCGGAGCAAGTTTTCTAAAATAAAAGTAGTCTACATTATAGACTACAGTATAAAAAAAAATAAATAAAGTGCCATTGTAAAGAAATTTAAAAAAGAAAAATAAGTAGTCCGATCATTTTGAAAATTTTACCACGTCTGCGTAAGTTCAGTATAATTATTATTACCAAGATTCAAGTCTCTACGTGATTTTATAACTGATTTACAGCAAAAACACTCCCAACAATTAAAATTCCTTAAAAGCTCAAAAGTGGCTCAAATGTTTTGGCAATGGTGTTGTAAGATAGTAAATCAAAAAGGCAACAAAAAATGTATCTTGTGATTTTTCGATTAATTCATTTTTTTCTGGTAGAAAACGTCGTCCGTTTTTTTATAAAATAATAAAATCGTGAAATTGTACGTTTTCCTATGTTTTTTCCCACCGAAGTGCTTTTATTTAAAAATTGGCGTCGAAAATCAAAAGTGACCTATCTATAATGTACCATTTAAACAATTTGAGCTTTCAGAAAAGTTGCTACACGTAATAATCGAAGCAATTTTACTAGGAAAATACACGTGTCCACCGTCTCGAACAAAAATACACAACATTGTAAAACCGATAGCTCCCTGGCTACGCTAGGAATCTAAAATAAACCACTTTGTGAAACCCTAAGCTTCTTCTCTCCGCCCAGAATATAAAATAATAACAACAGTAATGATATAAAATAAATTAAAATAACATTCTAAACATGTAAACATTACCAATGACAGCAGGGACTCATAAACATTTGGTGAAGTTAAACTTGTAACTATTGCTCGTATAATGTCTAATATATTTGTGATCACAGTCTTATTACAACCATCTCAGACCAACTGGACCCCTTTTTATGTAGCTGTTCGGTACCACCCACGAATTTCGTTGTTGGGCACTTATCATTTTCAAACAGATATGCTGACCATGTTTCGGGGCACTTTAAACCCCGGGCACGGTATCGAAATAACTTCCGAAAGCCTCTTGAAGGCCATGCAATATCTAAGCGAAACAAAGACGACGATTCGGAGAAACGAGAGTTTGAAGTTTTAGACAAATTCAAATTTCGATATCCAAACGTATCATCTGCATAGCATATTGATCAACCCGTGTAAATTCCAAAACAATCGGTCCATTCGTTTCGACTACAAAGAAGTCGGACCGTGTTCCGGAAAATTACGCAGATTAAATAGGAGTTGGCCGTCTCGTGCAATATACCGCGGTCGACGCAAGAGCTCTATAATCTTTTACTTGTAGCTCAGCGCCGGGACCGCGGCGCTGGATACATAGGTGCGCCCGTTAGGATATTATATTTTATCGATTATTCGCACAGGATATTATGCGCTCGTATTCTTTAAGTTATATTCGATTTTGTATTATTTTAAACATGTACTCTGAAGTGTCCGGATATCTGTAGTATAGATAATACTGTATACATTTTATGCATGGTAGTATTTTTGATTTTCAGGAATATTCCATTACTGTACGCTGTTATGCGGGTAATTTATTATCAAATCCACCGTACCCGGCAAAATTGAAATGATTGCTGTATTTTGTTGTGTCTTTCTTTAGTCCCGCCTGTCCAAGAACAATCTACAGCAAATGCGTTGGTAAATAACACGGGTAAAATCTTAGATCGTGTTATCAGGTGCGTATTTAGAGCGGAGGGGACGACAAGTGTACCTTGTTGTCCGGGGGGGGGGGCGGTAAATCGTTTAGTCCATTTAGAGGGCGGCAAATTTATGTTGATAAATTATTGTTGTGCATTAATTTTATTGGAAAAAAAAATAATGCGTTTACATAATTTTAATTATTGTTTTAACCTTCTATTAAAAACACAATTATTACAGCTCAGAAACGTATACGGTTTTCATTAATTTCAAAGATAATAATATTAACAAACTATTTATAAATAGGCTGTTACTATTCATAAATAACGACCAGGGCTTGAAACCGGTTTGGAAATCGATTTTAAATACCGGTTAAAACCACCGTTGAGAAATCGAAATCGAAAAAATCCAAAACCGGTAATCAACTAAAATAATAACTTTATTTTCAAACCTCCAGTCAAGGAGAAAGTTATAAATTTATTTAGATAGCGATGTACTGCTAATGTAAACCGTGGGTAACATACACTTTATTCACGTACATAGAGAAACATGGAGATCTAGAGGCGGAGTCCAAACAAATTGTTGTTGCTCCGCCCGTACAGTGACTGTTTTAGATGCCGAGCGGAGCGAACGGTTTTACGAAAGTCAAAGAAATGTATTTATTTATTTTTTTTTATCCATACTCAACTTTTCTACCAGAAACCTTGCTCCGATTTACGACGGTAGCATTTTTCTTGAAAGGAAATCGGACTGAGGAGGTACTTTGGGGATATTGTTTTTCGATTTTCTATGGAGATTTCTAATCAAGTGTGCAAAAAACGAAAAACGAAGGAAATACAGGGCAATGCACGAAATATATTAGTAAAATATCAAGTATAATATCACTCAGAGAGTCATCACAATACAAGAATACGAAATCATACATAAATATTATGATAAATGATAGTGGGATTCGGTCGACCGAGGTCTTCCACGCAAAACGTTATGTGCTTACTTTAGAATTGCTTAATATTCGCTATACGATTATGAATTCTTGACGAAAAGGCCGATGGCGAAATTGTCGTACCTCACATTTTGAGAAATAGCTTTTTTCGGGAAGGGGGTAGGGGAGGATGAGGAGGTTAGGGACGGCGTAATTGCGTTGCCCCCGGGCGCAAAACGTCCAATTACGGCCCTGCACGTTATACTATGGATGGGGCTGCACATGACTAAACATTCGAGGCAAAACGTAACTGAGCGGAGTCGGGGCTGATGCGCGCGCGTGAAATTTACCATCACCGCTGATTACCAATGATGACGAGAAACGAGATTCCCGTTGTTTTAATACATTGGAAACTGAACGATATTATTAAATGTACCGCAGTGCAGTTCAGATGGGTACCACGGCCGACCACCTCGTACCGGCGACGAATCGCGAACATTGAATAATAAATATTTACTGCGGACTCGTGGTCAAATTCACGCGATCGCGTATGACGGCGTACCGTGGCATTTTTATTCGGTTACGTTATGGTTGCGGTGACAAACGCGCCGCGCGTACCGACACGCGTATAAATGTCGCGGGGCCCGCGAGACACGTCAACAACGGTGTGTCCGACGCGTAGCACGCGTTCGCGGCGCAGTGGCTCCGTCCGTAGTACACGATCCGAGGGTCACATGGTCGGGTTTGGTTTGGGGGACACCGTTCGTCTACGGGACAGACGTCAAGTCGCCTGCCTGCCCAACATAAACAACGCCAAATTCGCATTAAGTTCAAGTTAGTTTATTTTTATTTTTCCACAAATATGTATACAATATAACATGCTCTATATTATATTTATTATGTTTTATACCGATACAATAGTTCTTATATTACTAATAATAATAATAATAAAAAAAAATCAAATCTAGTCGACTCGTAAATTCCGTTTACACAGTACATATTATAATATCCATTAGGCACGGTTAACTAATAAAATCAAGTCGGGCGAACAATTATTGTATAAAGTGTTTTGGGCAGAGGTTTGCGTAAATAACCGAATGTATTTACAATTTTTGTGACATGATAATATTATTACGTAGATATAGTGTTTCTATATACAAATACACGGTTTTCATACAGCAAAACGAGCGTAAACCACAGAACGCACGGATTACAATGTTTTACGTTATGTCGTATCTAAATATCTATGGAAAAAAAAAAAATGAAAAACGAATAACCGTCGTTATCGTCGATAATAATAATAATAATAATAATATTTATACGCCCTCCGGCCGCGACGATAACGATATTTCGCGCAACGGATAATATCCATTAGCCGGCACCGGTATTGTTATTGCGCGCGGACAGTTGCATCGGTCGCGTTGCAACGCCCGTCGGATTTCACGGACAGCCGCGCGATTACGCGCCGTGCGGTCAACAGCGACACGAACGCGCCGCAGACGCCGGTACGTCGCGCGGCGAACGCGAACGCGGGCACGGGTCCCCGACGACCGGCGGCGGCGATTGCGGATTGCAAATCACGGCCCGAAACCGCCGGCGACGGCGGCGCCGTACCGCGCGGGCACGCGAACAACGCCCCGGCGCCCCGAGGAGCGGTCGTTTGAACGCGCGCTGTCCCGGAACCGGCGGACCGACATGGCGGCGTGACCCCGCGCGAGAATCGCGGGCGATCGCCGCAGTGATCACGACGGTAACGGGGGCCACGCGCCGTGCCTGCCGTATCCGCGCGGCGGTGCCGTAACTGCGACGGTGGATATTATCGTTGGTGTGCGGGCTCTACGCGTCTACGCACAACAACAACGGCGAGTCCGCTCGCCGGTGCCGCGAACATCGTGCGAGAGTGTGTACACACACACACACGCGCACACGCGCGAGAGGTAATAATAATATACAAGTGATATAATACAATTTACGTTCGTATTATACGCGCGCGTGTGTGTGTGTGTGTGTGTATTTTGGAAATTTTTTTCTCTCTCTCTCTCTCTCTATCTCTATACGCGTCGTTAAAAATAAAATTTCTCCGGACTAGTACGTTTAGGAACATTCATCAATGGATTGATAATAACAATAATAACAATGTGATTTAATTTGTAATCTTCCAGACGCTCGCGACAGTGATAGCCGCCGCGACGCGACCGTGAGATGGCCGTCAATTAACGGTTAACGTCGTGCGAGTGTTGGCGATTTCGGTTCGAAATCCATTCGCCGATATTATTCGTCGTTCACGCTTCACAACAAATCGTACGGAACGTGTGTGGTTTTCTCTCCACGAATAATATTTTACATGCTGTTTGCGCACACGTGCGATTCAATCGAAACAATAATAATAAAACACCGTTTTTATTCATTCAAAGTTTTAATTTTAAAATAATATGTCCTTGTAGATTTGTTGTTTTATAATCATAATCATAATCATAATAATAATAATAATAATAATAATAATAATAATAATAATAATA